TGGAGTCTGCAAATAGATTCACCAAATTGTTCAGCAAGTACAACTGCAAACAAAATAGCACAAGTATGAATATTATACTAAAAGACGCATATCTGAAGTCAGTTTACAGCAACTGAAACACTGAACCTGAGACTCTACAGATATAACAATGACTACATAAACCATGTCATATTCCAACAATCAAATACATGTCATTATTCTATAACCAAATACAGCAGAATGACTTTGAAGTCTATATTTGTCTGATAAAGTGTTCACTAGTTACAAGTACACTTATGCTGCCATGGTTCCCCCATGCAACTCCCAGTGGAATCAGTACAACTCCTGAATGCAAAATGGCATAATGACTGGCCTTAGCAGACACAAGAAACCAGTTTTGTGAATAAATAATGTAATGCACACAAGAAAAAATAGGTTTTCATTTTCATTTGAAATATACTAGGGTGTTTTAAAAAGCACATCTAAATGGACTTTTTGAAACGGGCCCTTAAAATCTACCACTATTAATTAGAAGTCGTAAGAAAAAAAAAAATCTTAAAACCTGTGCTGAAAATATGTTAATTTGTGAAACAAGTAAAAATGAACTAGTAACTTCAAGTTAAAATTAATATTGTTCTTTCCCCAATTTGTATTATTTTCCATGTCACTTTGAAACAAGGCAAGACTATCAGTTATAACTACATTATTTTTGCCTTTGGGTATCATAACTCTATTATTTAAATTAATTTTCAGATGAAATACTGAATAATAGCATTTAATCATTTAACACAACTCTTAGAAACTATTCTATTACCCTGTAACCTTTTGCATGATGTTTTGTAAGCAACATTAATTTAATAATCCTTTTGTGTGTGATTTTTAAAAAAAATCTAATCTTGCAAACAACACTAGCCTAAAACTCAATTCCCTTCTCCAAAGCTGGTGGAATAATCTTGCTAAGTGGTCTTTAGAAAACATGATGAAAAAACAACAAAAACAAACAGAAAAAAACTCATTTAAACCCTACATAGTAAATATCTGTTTCAATTGACATATTAATATTTACTGCCATCTGCTGGACAAGCACACAAAATAATTTTATTACATACCAAATAAAGTATTTCTCCAAAAGAAATCCACGAAACATGAAATATTGACATAGATGTTGTTGGATTGTTTAGGAATATTCTATACATATCCCTTCAGTCTCCCAAAGTAACATATTGTTAAAATAAATAGTCAGAGAACAGCAAAATACAAAAATCCAGGGCTCACAGCATGAAATGTTTAGTACAGTTCTAATCTTGGTTGTTCTTACTCAGGTCCATGTAGCCTCTATAGTTATAATAAATAGGGCTAAATACAACAAATGATATTACAGTGGACAATTTAAGCCCCCTCCCCACCACCCCTTCCCTCCACAGCAACAATAACAACAATGACGAAAGATATAAAGCTGAAGACACCAGTGAAATAAAACTAAGCTGCAGTGCTTTTTAGAGTCCCTTACTGGAAAAGTCTTCAGGCTATTAAAAGGAAGGAGAGAGTGGAAAGGTGAAAGAGAAAACATGAAATGATTGGATTTGTAAATGGAATTCACATCTGAGTGCATATGTGTGTCTGTAATCTCCTCTCAACTGTAAAAAAAACAAGATAGTGTCAATTAAAGCCTTGTTCCTGATTCTCTCTGTTGCTTTCTTCCCCATCAAGTTTTAAAATGGAAAGTATTATCTGTACCTTTCAAATTTAGCTCATTCATGGTCTTTATTTTTGTCATTTTTCCTAATGGCACCCCCTCTCTCATTAATTAGCTGTATCTGAATTTTGTTTGTATCACAAAAAAACTCCAGTAAAATAGGAACCTTTTGCTTTCCCTCCCCCCTTTATCGTATAAAACTACTGAGAGAGAATCTTGTCCTGAAAATCTTACATGCTAACTAGAGAAGACAAAATAAAACATCCCTAAACAGTGTTTTTGTATATCTGCTTTTAGCCTAGAAATGTGAGAGTGATGCTTACACTACAGTCTTTACAACTGTCACCCTTCTCTCTCTCTCCATTCTTTATGTATATTCTCTAAACAGCCTTAACATTTCCTAGGAGAACAGGTTAAATAAAAAAATCAAAACGGTAAGGCTCCAGTTATTACTGGACAATAACCTATCTACATACACCATAATTTTATAATTGTGAAACAAAGGAAGCAGGAAATGAAAGTGTGTTAGTCTCTGTATCTTTCCTTTGCGCTAAAAGAGTTAACATTGCAGGGAGATGTTCATAGTTGTACACAGCTTGCATTGTGTGGTCCAACTGAATTTTAAATTAAATTGTAACATATATTGAGTTGGATTAGTAGGCAAACAGTTTTGGTTCCTGTAATCTAGCTTTTCAGAGCATGTACATTTCTATCAGGCCTACCTAATCAGAAGGCCATTTACTGGTGTAATATTTCTCTCCCCCACTCTCATTTTTAAGGAATATATTAAACTACTTTTCCTCTTGGCTATGATTTAATTTTAACTTGTATCACATATGAACACTTGACATGTGGGGCACAAGAGGCCCAGGAAGTTTGTCAATCTCTCACAAATATTTATTACATACTTCCTGCTACTCTGAGCTGTAAAGCCAGTCCTGGGGACGTTTAGACCTGTACAGAAGGAAAGAGCCCCCTTCCCCTTTCCCTTTGCACACAATAAACACTCAGAGGCCAAAGTCATAACTGGATTTTCTTCAAACAGAAAGATGGGTGAGAATAACCCTCTTCTCATGAGAAGGGGTGAGTAGAAAACTGTATTCAGGGAACACTGTCTGCATCTACACAACACGCTGACTGCACAGTTGTTACTATGTGGTCATTTAGCGCTCGCACAGTAACGTCATCAATGGCTTTTTGGTGCCACTAATTGTGCAATAGTTCGTTACGGCTGCACAGAAGTGTTGCATCATACTTCGTGCTACGTGATGCTACTGCACGGTAGTAACGAGCTACTATGCAGTCAGCATCTCGTGTAGACACAGCCAGGGTAAGCAAAATTCAAGTGGAGGGATAGAAGGATTTAAGCCTCCTTATGGAGAAGAGGAAAATGAAGGAACTGCTGCTAAGAACAGACCTGTTCCTGTCACAGAAACGTAACATTTGTGCCTGGAGAAGTTGGGCCGGTGTTTGTTTCAGAACAGAAATATCCTGTGATTAGCTTTTACACACATCACCCGTCTAATCAGTTTAGAGAGCAGCTGAATACACTGCTTCCCTTCTGCCATTGATTCATTGATGCAATCCCAGGATAACCATTCAGATGCACTTTGCAATGTCCCAAGATAAATTGTTAGCACTTCTTACTCCATGAACCCTCTTAGGGTTTACCCTGGGACAATGGACAGGGATGTCCGAATGGCTTCACTTTGTCCTGAGATAATGATTTACTCCTGAACAAACACAGTATTTGTTTGTTAGCTCTACTGTTTGAAACAAAGCAGACATGTCTACATGAGATGCTACTATGCAGTAGCATTGGTGGGCACTAACCATGACACACCACTTCTGCGCAGTAGTAACAAGCTACTGTAAAGTAGCATCTGAAAAAAACCATGTGGGGATGGTACTGCACAGTAACATTACTACGCAGGTATTTAGTACTTGCTTATATAGTACTAAATGACTGTGCTGCAACAACTGCACAGTCCAACCACTCGTGTAGACGTGGCTAGTGGGTAAGTGGCTGTGCCCCGTGTTCCTTTTCCCCAAAGGGTCACAACATTCACTTCTGACCGGAAGCCCAAGCTGTATTATAGTGACAAGCATTGTAGCGTGATAATTGACTTCTGCCTACTCTGGAGCTTGTTTTTAGACATTCAGCATTTAAGTACTGGAAATATTTCCATAAACAGCATATCATTCCTTTGTACATTAACAAACACAAAGCTAAGGTGATCAACGCTGTTACACAGTCTGCCAGATTTCGTTGCTTAAAGTGGCATAAAACTGGTTTAGAAACTTACATGAACACGTTATAGAGACTCACTTTTTGGTTTATGGTACCAGAAAGCTCAAAATGCCATTTTTAATTAAAAACCTTTTCTTATATAATGCTTCTAAACCATGTTATTCATTTATATTACTTAGGACCCCTGTTATATGAAAGTCTGTATTTCTAGTTTTTTGAATTAACAAAGTCCAACTTAGCACATTACTATATTAAATTATTTATAAAAGCTATCAAATGTCGGAAACAAATAGTCTGATACAAGGATTGTTCAAGTTAAAAAAAACCCCACAGCCCTGTGCTCAAGTGTCTTTAAGATTCCTCATAAGAAGTGATGGTTTGTAACAACAACAAACTGGACAATTCTAGAAATAGGAGAAAAAGTTTAAAGCTGAGATCACTGAAATGTTCTTTGCTAGGTTAGTACTAATGAAACAGGGTTTCTATCCCTTGTGAGTACTGTTTATTACAGGGTAAATTAGTAGAAGTGAGACTAGACTAAGAGAAAAATTTACCATCGTGGCAGCTGTCACCCCTCACTCCAAATCCACTATCTTAAAAACATCATTCTGACTACATTTAGCCAGAGAAAGGGAAGTGGGTGATATTACCCTTTCTACCATCTCCAGCTAATATCTGAACCACTTCCATAATATGGAATTTGAACTCATGTCATCATCCTCTTCCTAGCATGTTAGTTCCTTTCCTGCTTTTCTTCTGTTTCTCTCCATCTCTTATTTTGCCTTATGTCTAGTCACGGCAACTCCACTTTTTGTAATGCTGCCCTCAACCTGTGATCAGGAAGGCAGCTAAAAACAATACATGAAACTGCTCAGCACTAGTAAGTCTGGCAGGACCTGACTGTGAAGACTGTTGAGCTGGCTCTGCATTTCTTTAGCAGTGGAGCTGCAAGTAAAAATCAAAGACAGAAAAAGAACCCGCATTTTCTATCTTTGCTATTCTATTCCCTGCCTTTCTCTGTGAATTTTAACATGAAATAAACAGGATTGAAGACTAGCAACAACAAGCCCAAACTATTTAAACTAACCTTTTATTTTCCCTAATAAAGGACTGTTAATATTTTTAATACGTACATAGTCCATATAAAAATAATACTTTATACAGCAATAATATGAGAAAGAAAATATAGGATATTCATAACAATAAAACTTTACTTAATAGTACCTATTTCAGCTGCTTTAACTGCTTTTCTTTCCTTCCTCCCTCCCAATTTTTAATAAAAGGTTTTAAACAATTAATGGTGGTTGTTACAATGGAAGTACAGCCACAATAACATGACATAAAATCCTGTGCTGTACTTCACATTTAAAATATTAAGCAGTTAGAAAAAGGTTTCATTAACATTTTATCCCTTGTTGGGCCCAAGACACCCCGTAATAAAGCAACCTCATGAAGCCAGGAAAAAAGGTAGGATTGTTGCAACCCTCAAGTTGAGAACTCTTAGCCTACTAAAATTCATGATTTACATTTGATGAAAAAATGCTTTTCATGATAGGACTCACTAGAACTACTGTGATTTTATAATCACTTAATCTTGGAAAATTAGAATGCAATAGCTGCACTTTGACAAATGATGTACAAGATCCCAGGTACCTAGGCATCACCACAGTGCAGATTCTTGAACAGAGATTTAGTGCCCCCTCCAAAAAAAATGCACACTCAGTTAGTTCAAAAGGACCTCAATACATTTATTTTAACCAGAACAGCATTCATTTATCTCTAGTATTCAATTAAATATCAACTGGCTTTGGTTTCTTGGACAAGATATACATTAAATCAGAAGTACATTCGTGCTTTGGTAATGCTATTATGAAGTTTGGCAGACAGTCTATCCACAAACCAGTCATTACGCCAGATTTGGAATGGGGTAGGACAGAGCTGCTTACAGCTGCTCTGCACTGTGGTGCTCTAACACAAATACTCCCCTGACCTGCTGAAGCTGCTCTAAAGATGCTATAATGCTACCAGTGCGGCATGTACAGCAGAGTAGGAGACAGATCATGTCAGCGGTCATTCTGGATGAGAAGTAAGTGTAAACAACTATCTGAGGAGCTCCATTTATTTAATAAGGAGACACTCAACACACACTGGAGTTTCCTGAGGGTTTCAGCAGTTTGACTCCCATTAGAATTAACACAGATTTTTAAAGATGCTGGTAGCAAACTAGCAAGATTTAAGAGTTCATTTGGCACCTAACTTAAAAAGACATTTAAAAAAAAACCACTTGAAACCTAGTCATTTCTGTTCTGGAATTACTAGAAAGCCTATTCTTGAGCGGTTGACTTGTAATGCTTCAATGTGCGAGCAGAAGGATCAGTAGCCTTAATCCATCTTGGCATCCAATAATGGGGAAGCCAGTCACTTTGCCCCGGGTAGTGCTTTTCAAAGATCTGGCGATAGTAATAGCCTTCTTTAGTTTTAGGTGGATTGAAAGGAAATTTCTCAGCTGCTTTTTCCAACAGAAGGTCATCAACCTACAGACACAAGGGAAATCCAAGTTAAACTGCAGTTGCTTTATAAATTTTTTACCAGATCATTAGCTTCAAGTGGAAGTAGTGCCAACTCATTTCAGGGGATAAGGTCTAACATTACATTCCACATTTTATTAAAGTTGTCTGTTACAGCAACAGATTAAAAAGCTTCCTAAGAGGTGAGTTTCTATCACAAGATATCTGTGCATGGCTGCCCCTGAAATAATTGGAGTCCTGTCTCTCCATTTGCTGATTATTTGTTTGTGTGTGTGGTGTGTCTTTTGCTTATATAGTCCATGCTTATTCATGTTAATACCAGGTTCTTCTCCCCCCAATGAACTTACACAAGTCTCTCTTCATTTTTTCCTGTCATATTATCAATATTTAGACTTCTATCCCACACCAAGAAAAGCTATTGGGAATTAACTGGAACTGTTTTGAGCAAGTTCCAGTTATGCAGTTTTCTACCAGGTGATAGGTTTCTTGTTCTGATTGTATATTAACCTCAGTTCCCATCCAGTTCTGGTCCCATTCAGCCTGCAAGTTCTCAGTGGCAATAATTTGGGAGCTGAGATACAATTCACTTTTAATTTCCCCACTCCAACAGGGGCAAGGAGCCAGCTGGCCTACAGAGCAGAGTTGACTAGAAGTGTAACAGAGCAGCTGGGTGCCCCTGGCAGTGGCAACACACAGGGACAGTGGCTGCTACCATGGCTGTGAGGCTGCTGTGGCAGCTGTTATTTCCCCCTGTCAAAGTTGGTGCCTGTGGCTGCTCTAGTCACGCCACCTTAATTAGACTACTGGAATTGACAGTAGAGGGTACACAGCTTCAGGTGATCTCCAAGGGCTTTCCATTAGTTGGGCTCTATCATAAAATAAAGTTGTCCTCCCCATCCTGCAGAACCTCTTGTTGAACAGAACAGTGATATAACTAGAGCTTCTCTAGAGATAATACTGCCAGAACTATTTTTCCTGGTAAGTACTGAGGGAGCAAGCTGCCCCAACACCCTCAAAGGTGGTCTGGATTGAATTCTCTATTGTATGACCTGATGAATGAGTAGCTCACCTGTGCACTGACAGAATAAAGTGCCCATTGCATCTCCCTACTAGTAATTACCTCCATTTTGTATTTTTTGCATTGCTGAGGCAACTATTCTTGATGCAAAACCATCATAATTGCAATTATACTGTCTGACACTGTAACAAGAGGTTTGAGTTCTGAAGAGTCTGGCTATGTTATAGAGGTGGATATCAAATATCAACACTGAACAGATTCATCAGCTGGGAGCCAGGGTAAAGCAAGTATGAATTGTTTATGTAAACTATAGCACCTGTGCCACATTCAACTCAGAAGCAGGCCCTGTAACATATATACCTATATAAATTCACATGTATACTTGCAATACAGCTTCCTTCACTTACTTTAATAATATTAAGATTCTTACATAGCCATTTTCATAAGCTTTTATCATCTCTTTCCTTCTAATATACTACCATGCCAATCTCTATTTAAAATGTATTTGGGTAGTTTTTACAGCCTGAAGCATGATGATTGATTTTTAAAATCAATCTTGCTCCTGCAATATACTAAAGCAAACATTAATTTACAAATTTCAGCACTAAAATTAAAGATGTATTTTCTAAACTGAACAAACTGCAGCTTGTTGGCTGAAGCAGTCAATGTATTTGCAATACGTTTCACAGTTAGAGTGCAAGGGTACGCTACTGTACCTGCTGATCAATATAGTCCTGGAGAATTGAAAACCATGACTTCTTGACAGAGGTTAAACCATCACTGAAGGCTTCTTTGGGTCTCCAGAGTATCTCTTTAGGAAGCAAGTTGGAATCCTGAAAGGACTCTCTCAAAAGATATTTTTCAATTCCATTCTGTTGACAAAAAGCATATCAATGCCTTGAAAAGCAGGGTTTAAAGCATGATCCACTCCACAGGCCAGTGAGTAAGGACCAGATTTTTTAAATGGATCTTTCCTTTTTGAAGTCCATTTGAAAAAGGCCACTGGCTACCAATCCAGCAAAACACCATCTCATATGCTCAGCTTTAAACATGTGAACAGACTAATAAAGCTGATAGGACTACTAAAGTTTAAAATAGGGATGGACACTTATTTGGGCCTCCAGGCCACATAGGGAGGTTTGGGGAGCTGTCGCAGGCCAGGTCAACACCCACCCCCTGGTGCAACAGCTCACCAAATCTCCTTATGTGGGATGGGCCATGGGCAGGTGGGGAGCAGGCATGGGCACCAGGGCTGCCCTGCAGCTCCTCCCTACTGCCCCACCAGGCATAAGGGCCAAGAGGCAGTCCTGGTGGTGGCAGGGAGGAGATGCAAGGCAGCCCCAGAGCAGCCCCCAGATCCTGCTTTTTCCCCCACTGCCACTGCCCATGGGTCCCAGGTGGTCTCCAAAGGGCCAGGGATAGGGCCAATGGCACCAGCCAGAAGGAGCCACCACCACCAGGACTGCCAGGAAATGGGAGTCCAGACATGGAGCCGCCCCATCCTGCTATGGTTCTACATGCTTCAATACTTTGCTGGATCAGAACCTTAATTTCCAAGCTGATTTTTTATGGTTTTGTATACCTTTGGGATTCTCAGTTCTGCTGGCAGGGATAGGTAATAAGAAGTAAACCGGTGATCCAGAAATGGGACTCTCAATTCAAGACTGGGAAAAAAACAAAAAACAAAAAAAAAAACCAAGAACCATGAATTATATTAGAAAATATAGTACAACAAACTAGTGACATGCTGTCTTATAAGTTCCATAACTGGAAATTCCACAACTCTCCAGCTACATTTACTGTGCATGACAGGAGTTAAATGCTTTATTTCTAAATATTTTGTCTATGTCCATAACATTATTTTCACTTAATTCAACAATAAAGACAACTGGGTACCTTACATACACAGTATCCCTCAATTAAAGAAAATTCAAAACTATGTTATTATATATGGTGCCATCTGCTGGAAAACTTGTTATATCACACAGATCCCTGAAATTTCCACTGCAGATTCCATATCCTCAAATCAATGTCTGTTCATCCATATAAATTAAAAAAAAAAAAAAAAAAAATCCAAATATCCAAAAAAATCTATGTAGAAACAGCAAGGTGTCCACGGGGGAAAAGATGAAAATTTCTTAAGATAGTGTGTAATCTAGAATGTTATGCCTAAAAGTACAAGTGGGTGTGGCTTTCAAACATATCAAGAATTAAAGACAGATATTTGAAGCCATCCTGCAGTACTTTTATTCAAAATTCAATGGGAATTCCACATGAAGAATAACTGAGACCTTTCTGCTTCTAGATGACATGTCTGAGAGAATATTGATACCATTTCTGATAATTAATATTTAAGGCAACAAATGAGTCAATGGGAACTTTGCTTTGAGTTACAAGACTCAATACCAGTCACTTATCCACTTTCTGAGAGACATGTTAGTTTAAAGTGACTAACAACATTAACCTAGTTGGGTTAGGCTGATTGGAGCACCACTGAAGTCAAGTGAAAATATAAAACAGTAAAATATGGTGCATTCCAATTTTATAATGTTTAGTACCCAAGCAAAAAAAAAAAAGTCATAGTTCTGTATATGTCCCCTGCCACTATGAAGTACTGTGTCAAGTGCAGAGACTGAATTTCCCCTCCTGCACATTGACTGAGATAAGACATCAGTTTCAGCCAAAATTATTTTCATTTAATGAGAATTTTATTTTCCATAGCTGATACAGTCAAAGGTGCGGTGCCTCCCCTCCTCCATCACCCATCCTCTCCCTATTGTCTGTTATTCCTGTCACATCACACCTAAATTTAAATAGTTCAAGACGGCACCTTGACTTTCCAAATATTTTATACAGCAATATCCTTTGGCATATCAAAAGGAATAGGTGATGATAGCTCTCCCTTAACTGTGTGAATTAAAACAACCATACATATGAAGCCAATTTCATCCAGAAAAAAATGCAATGCAAATACTAGTTCTACTGTATCATTACTGTGTTTAAATGGGAAACTAAAGCAAAGGATATCAAGTGACTTGTCCAAAGTTACCCAGGCACAAAGCAGAGCTAAGGGAAGGCAGATCTTTATTTGACCCAAGTCCTCTGCTTGAGCCACATACCTGTCCTTTACATCCCACTGACTGAGCTGCTGCTTACTCTTCTAATTTTTATTCAGCTGTCTGTATCGATTCCTTTTGTAAGTTAATACACCAAATAGAGAGAATGGCATTAAGTCTCAAAATAGAATAGTTTAGTATTAATTTCATAAGCAGCAACTTAACAAAAATCACTCTCCTATATTTGGTAACCACTGTACCAATTTTTTTAAATCCCATCTCTCTCTGTAATATGCTTTTCTCTGGCAGTTTCAATATATCCTTCTTGTCCATGCAAGAGATCCAAAAAATATACAAACATTATACAATTTACACAATCCACCTTTATCCAAATACTCTCATTAGTTTTTAAAATGTGGTATATTATCACTGAGATCATATATTCCTGAAATACTTGATTTGCTAATATAATTTCACATAAAAAAAAATTAAAACTGAGAGAAAGGCTTTCCTGGATAAATCATCCAGACAGCAGCCTTCGAGTGCAGTTTTAATAGGACCAATTACACACAATACCCTAAATGTTATTATCCAAATTCCTTCAGGTTACAAGTGCAATTTAATCTTTGTACATAAGCCCATTCAACTCTCCAGCCTTCAGCACAGTCATCAGTATTTATTCCTACCTGAGGTGATTGATTTTTTGTCTAAACTTCATCTTGCGCAAAAAAGCTGACTGCTGTTCAGAAGCAGCACCTCATCTGGCTGAACCATCAGTGCTTTTTCATTGGTTAAATACTGGGTCCTCTCATATAAGTAGCAAATTTCTCATTCACATCAATGAAACTAGAATTTATCCCTTAAAATACACTGATTTATAAACGTAAGAATATGGAGAGTAGTATTGAACCCTGTGTGCAAAGAAACAATCCAACGATTGGGTCTTTGCTTCTTTAAAATATAGTCTGCTTGGGTTCTTGAATCCCACCTGGAACCAAGGCATTCAGGTACCTGAGCTATGCCTTACCCATGAGCTGCAGTAGTTCTGTCTGCACGAAGAACATCAAACAGGTAGAGCTCTCTCAGAAGCCTCTCGCTCTCTTCCGCAGATTCTTCAGGAGAGGGAGCCTGTAAAGAGTATTGTATGCATACGCCATAAAAAAAAAAAAAAAAGTGTACTGGCAATTCAAATGCTTCCTGTTATTTAGGCTAGAGATTAGAAGGAACTTCACAGGCATTTATAGACACGCTGTGAGAGGAGGAGGGAGGAGGCTCTTTAATTAAAGCACCCACAGCACCATATGTATCAGCGTCCCCATGCTGAAAAATGGTGGCGGGGGTGCTTTAACTAAAGCTCGTCATACAAACTTAAGTTCAAGCACCTCTGCTGTCATTTTTCAGCCCAGCGATGCTGATACACGTGACACTTTATTCTGCGGGAGTGTGGTAATTACCACGCTCCAGTAGACTCGATTAATTGAGTCTGCTCCAACACGCTGTAATTACAGCACATTGAAGCAGCCTCCCCTGCAAGTGTATAGGCACCATATAACTATGAGAATGGTCAGGCATTTGAACAGGCTACCTAGAGAAGTCGTGACATTTCCATGTTTGGAAACTTTCAAAAGCAGGTTAGACAGACACTTGGGTGGGATGGTTTAGTCAGGGATGATCCCGCCTTGAGCTAGGAACTGAACTAGACGATTTTGTGAGGTCTCTTGCAGCCCTACTTTTATACATATGGTCCTAAGTGGATTTCCAGTGATCACAGTACAGTGATCTGCACAGATTTAAAGCACAAGCCAGATCAGTTTTAAAAAATTCTAAATAATTGAGAATATATAGTAGCCTGTTTGTTAGGACTCTTTTTCTGCTACCTTCCTCACTCAGACACACAAACAAACACACACACAAAACTTGCATGTTCATATACCAACGCCTTTTCAGACCCCACACCTAGACTATGAGCTTTTGTATATTTCCCAAGAGCTACATCATGTTCTATTGAGAATACACTAAAGATTGCCACACAACACCATCCTAGGAAACTGTGTAAGGCATAAGTAATCCTGGAACAGGAAAACAGGAGTATAAAATGACCAGTCCTCAAACACATTATTAAATTCTTGGAGCATGTAAATGGGGATGCTGAATTTAAAATTTTACATAAATATTGCATGTCTGTTACTACTACAATTTTCACCACAAATCAAGATGAGCTCAATGACAGATGCTATCTAAAAAGTATAAAAGGATCAGGTCAAATTCACAATAAGTGTAAACCTACATAGTTTCTTAGCTTCACACTTCAATCCCAGAATAAATATCAAGAACTGAGAGTAGTGCTGGACAGGTTGTACTCAACCTGGCGAGATGTGAGCAGTGGGGTCCCCCAGGGCTCGGTCCTCGGGCCCGCATTGTTTAACATCTTCATCAGCAACTTGGACGAGGGGGTGGAAAGCACGCTGTCCAAGTTTGCTGATGACACTAAGATGTGGGGCAAGGTGGACACACTTGAAAGGAGAGAGAGGCTGCAACTAGATTTAGACAGACTACAAAAGTGGGCAGATGAGCATAGGATGGGGTTTAACGCAGACAAATGCAGGGTGCTGCACCTTGGGAGAAGGAACCCACAGCATACATACAGGCTAGAGAGTTCCCTTCTTGAAAGCACAGAGGCAGAAGGGGATCTTGGAGTCATTACTGACTCCAAGATGAACATGAGTCGCCAATGCCAGACCGCAACCAGCAAGGCCAGCCATACATTGTCATGCATCCAAAGGTGCATCTCAAGCCGGTCCAGAGAGGTGATACTCCCCCTCTATGCTACTTTGGTCAGCCCGCAGTGGGAGTACTGTGTCCAGTACTGGGCACCGCACTTCAAGAGGGATGTGGCCAGTCTGGAGAGGGTTCAGAGGAGGGCCACCCACTTGGTAAGGGCAGCAGGACAGGCCCTACAAGGAGAGACTGAGGGACCTGAACCTGTTCAGCCACAGCAAGAGGAGGCTGAGGGGGGACCTGGTGGCTGCCTACAAACTCATCAGGGGAGATCAACAGCAAATACGTAGAGTCCTTTTCTCCCCAGCACCACCTGGGGTGACGAGGAACAATGGTCATAAGCTGATGGAGAATAGATTTAGGTTAGAGATCAGAGGGCAATACTTTACAGTTAGGGTGGCCAAAATTTGGAACCAACTTCCCAGGGAAGTAGTCCTCACCCCTACCTTGGGCAAATTCAAGAGGAGGTTGGATGATCACTTGTCTGGGGTCTTGTGAACCCAGCATTCATTCCTGCCTGTGGCAGGGGGTCAGGCTAGATGATCTGTTCAGGTCCCTCCTGACACTAGCTACTATGAAACTGAACAGTGAGATGCCTGAATCTCTCTCAGAAATAGTCTCTGCATCATCAGGACAGTAGGCAGAGCACCCTACTGTTGCTATAGGAGAAGGGAGAAATTTGTCTCATATCCCCTGCTGGAGCAAGTTGTCATAGCCTCAATGTCAGTGGAGCTGTGACATTTTATATCTGCTGAGGTTCTGCCCTTCAGTCTCCATCTGGCACTTTAACCAACCTAAATTTTTCTTTAAAGTATGGGGTTTTTGTCCTATTCACATTAAAAATATTGCAAAAAAGGTAACTGATGATCTCTAAAAAAGAAATTGAGGTAAAGGCAATACCTAGATTCTAGACAGGATATGCGATATCCTCTTAGAACTTACATATTTCAGTTTTGTTGAATTAGTCACATACAGAGCTACGCAAGAAGCAGCATTTGCAAGATAGAAGTTTTAGAAACTACTTCAAGCATTCATTTTAAAAATTATTCACTTGCAAATGAAAAGTACCAACAACAGAAAAACATTAGGTACTATTCTGATTATTTCAGTGAAACCACTGAAACAAAATGTGTGTGCGCACAAACAAAACTATTTTTTTACGTGTGTGAAAAAAAATACTGTAATTTACCTTATGGAAGTAGATATATCCTTGTGCCAGTTCATCTGAGCCTTCTCCTGAGAAAAGGACAACACTGTCTGTTTTCTTGCGTATGTATTTTGAAACTAGATACATACCTGAAAACAAAATAATAAAGTCATTATAATCAAGTTATAACTACACAAAATGTTTCAATTGCTTCTATAATTGTAAATGGACAATATTTAATATGCTAAATCAAAATGTTTCTTTTCATATTAATTTATGGTAAGAAAAAGCTAAAATACACAAAAAGGGCATTTCTTTCTGGTTTTCACTGTCAGAATAATATTACTAACTGCATACCTTTATATCTATTTATGATACAAAGCCATTTGTTTGTTTATGTACACTCCTGCAACCAGCCTTAAAGCACAAACAGTTGGAGTGAAATATGTGATCTCAATCTGAGAAAGTACTTGAGCATATATATAAATCCTATGGATTTAACAGAATTTAAACACACACACACACACACAATTAAGCTTAAGCCCTGTTGTGAATAGAAGTGATTTTCTCAATACAGGCTTACAGTTGTAGGAAATATAAGAATGATAACAGGCTCACGAGTTAAGATTAATCCACAGAAGTAATAAATATGTAAACTTCACTTTTTGAACTAAAATGATACAAATCTTACTGTTTTTCAAACTTCCTTAACATATGATTTTTAATAAATTTATTTCACCCCATAAACTGCATCTGACTGGAGGGGTGGTGGCAACATACTTATGGCATGGTAGCTCCTATAAAATACTACAGTGTTGAAACCTCCAGAGTAAGGCAAGTCTAGGGCTCCTTAAAACTGCCTTGTGGGTACTCCTTGATTGGAGAAAGGGGCATCACCCTGACAGAAAATGCGCACTTGTGGAAGCGTTAGGCAGTCAGCAGCAGCTCTAATTTGTTGTTCACTGGTAGAAGCTACAGCCATTGAGGCACTGAACATCTGGACTTGGCCTGGCCTTTCAACTCTGTCTTGATGGACAAAAGCGAAGATGGTAGGACTAGGGTAGCCTCCACTTCCATACTCTTGTCTAAGTGTACATGCTGAAGGTTTTGGTGTGATGGTCATATAGACCTCTTGTGCATACATCATGATTCAGAGGATTGACGGTTGACAAGAACTTGCCCACTTTTCTGAAGTTATTTTACATAATTTGGCTTTGTAACAAAAAGTGTATTAATTTTTTAGACATTTTATAGGCATTTATTTTACTGGGTTCCACTTCACTGGCATATTAAATAATACCCATGTGTAAACAAAAGTATCTAGAAAAGAAATTTGAAAAACAGGTCAAACTCTGAATACCATATTTTCTTGCATACCACATGCCCCAAAATGTGACACAGACACCGTTTTTTGGAAGCATAATGTAGGGGGAAAAAAAAGATGTTTTCCCACATCCATGTCCAAACACGTGACATAAAAGTAAGTCCTCCTAGAAACTAGGAGCACTCAGGAAGTGTGGCATCCCAGAAGATATCTGGGTGAGGCAGCAGGAACTTCCTGGTATGGCAGGACCCTTGGGAGGGGAGTAGCAAGACTACTACTTCTTTACTGTAGATTGTTCTTTATGTAAGTTACGATAAATAATTAAAGTGTTGTTTCTACACAACAAGCCTCATCAAGATAATATTGACAGCTCCCTCAACCTCAGCCAGCAAAAAATTGCTACTTCAGCACAAGCTACAGTGCTCAGCCAATAGCTACGGCTGTGAGAAGGTTACCAACAGACCCCACCTCTGCTGCCTGCTGAAGCAGAAAGAAGTGTCAGCCATTGGAGCATAGCATCCCCCTGCTTCTGTTCCAACAAATGAAAACTAGCTTCCCTGCTTAAGATAAATTAAAACTAGCCTCCCCACAATTTTGAAGGGATGATTTTGGGAGGAAAGCTGTGTGTAATATGCAAGTAAATATGGTATTGCTTATTGTAAAATGTCAACCATTCAGGAAAATTTCCTTTTGTTTTGTAGTCCTTGGTGACTTTCCTTGGAGGTATGTACAATAGTTAAAACAATTTGTTACACTCAAAACAGGAGTCCTGGATAAAATTCTGTTGTTTGTGTTATACAGGAGTTCAGGCTAGATCAGTGTTCCTCAAATCTCTTCAGATTCACAACCCTTCACAGTAAAAATGTTCACAACTACCTTACTTTTACAGTTAATGTAAGAGTAAATACATACCAAATTAATAGCAATAAACCTATGTAAAACTTGTTTCTGCATGTATTTCTAACAGTTAACAAAGAATGCCTGGCATTAGAATTTATGGGGATGCAGAGAGGGGAGGGGTACAGTTGTCTTTAATTAGGCTGTAATAAAATTTAATTCCTCCCCACCATTGTTAGAGGCCAAGAACCACAAGCTGAGTAACAGTAGAGTAGGAAACCTAATGTGGACTCAAAATCTATTAATATATTTCTTCCATTTAAGGACCTCAAAGCCTCCGAAACATAACCATACATCTCTTCATAGATAAAGTGAAGTACAAAGAAATTAAATAACTTGCCCATTGTCTAATACTGAAGCAACAGTAGAATTGGAAATAAAACTGGTTTCTCTGACCATTAAATGGTCTATGAGGATAATGTGCATGCATAAAGCTATCAATACTTAATAATAATAATAATAATAAATAATATTATTACAAATCTTACCTACTGAAGCTCTTACTGTTGTAATGTCATAGGTTTCCAAGGAAAAAATAACCTCTTCTAATGCCTGAATGCCTTCTTCAGAATTAAATATTACTTCATGATGTTCACTGCCAATATGAGCTGCTACCTGTTTACAATGACAGTTTACAATAATGGAATGATTTCAATTGAAAACACTTTACAGATATATACGGCACATCATAAGTGCCCAGTCTCTTTTTCAACAAACTCTTACCATGATGCCTTAGGTGAAACTGGGACAACACTATGCTATCTACTGGAACTTAGAGTAGGAAATTTGATAAGCAAAACAAAAGTTCTCACTATACTAAATTCCAATGCTGACACTTCCCAAAGTGCAATAGGACTTGTAATGGACATAAGTAGTCAAGGTATTTGATTTTAAGTGCTGAACAGTCCAAAAGACAGCATGATTCCCTCAAAAGGTATCTACACTTAAGTCTGAGGCCCTTAGATTCAACCAATTAACTGCTAATTAAATTGGAGGTAACTAATACAATTGCAAGAGCAAAATTAGATACCCCATACACATTTCTTCCAGGATGTAGATGTTAGTCATTTATCCTAAGACTTGGCCACAGATGTAGGCAGAGTTGCTGCACCTTTGACACATGGGCTACGGGCAGAAATTACAAATACACTGGTAAATGTGATTGAAAACCGGTCCAAATCTGTAACACAACAGAAGTTCAGTGCACATAAACCACGTTCAAAATGGCTGAAACTAGTTTAGGATAAACCTGGATAGATGTAATATCAGACTGAACTGATTTAGAGTAAATTGGTTTATTGAACTTCTGTCCCAGATCCCCTCCAGGTCCAAATTTAACTCAGTCCCACAGCATCCCAGTCCCAAACTACCACATTGCAGGGTGGGTAGACTAGCCCCAGCTAAGCAAGGAGGTGTGCTCTAATGCAGTGTTTCTCAAACCATGGGTCATAACCCAAAAGGGGGTCACAAGAATATTTCAAAGGGTCAGGAGCAAGTGCCAGAAAAATGCACAAAAGCACGGGTTTCCCATTGCAAGCTGGCAGCATTCCAGCCTGCAAGGGGCTGCTTGTGCTATGGCCAGCACGGGTCATAAGAGCAGCCCCAGCAACCAGATGATGGTAAGTGTATGGAAAGTGGGGGTTGGAGGGCTGGGGCTTGACAACTGTTGGGGTGGAGGAGGTGGTGTGTGCAGGTGTGTATGTGCGTGCGCGCATGTGGACGGGATGGGAGTGGGGGAGAGGGGCAGGTGCCTGCTCGCACTGATGGAAGGTGGCTGGGTGTCCGGGCACCAAGGCTGCGACTGGGGGGCAGGCGGGAAGGATTATGGGTCAGGCACTGGCAGGGCCAGGGTGGTGTGGGTTGGGACAAGCCATTGATCTTTGCAAATAGGTCCCAGTACAAAAAAGGTTGAGAACCACTGCTCTAGTATACCCTGGCTTGACCTGGGCTGTTGCAGGCATGTGGCTGCATTTCCAGAAACAAAAAGTGAGTATCTGTTCACTTGCTTATCATTTTAATCTACACAGCTTAGACTCAACTGCAAAGATTGAACTGATTCAGCCTTGGGCTTTTTAACTGTTTGAACATAGCCATGGTCTTTTTGGTGATGATGCATTAGTAGCCTTGGTCACAGAAAGGTCTTTCAAATAAAGCCAAAGCTCTTGATGCTGCAAGATTTAACTAAGAAGCAAAGCCAAAGCTGTGTAAACTTAATATTACATCAAACTTGGGATCCATCCAAGAGAGAGAACTATTGAGAGAATCATTGGCAATGTGTAGGAGGTGCACCTGAGTGCACGTGCACCCCCTGAGATTGGCTGTGCACCCCCGAGAGAAGTGCCAGTGGCACTTCCAGGTTTGCCGCCAGGCAACCCAGCCACAGGCTTCTGCAGCAGGGGGAGGGGCTCGCAGCTGGCCTACCACAGCAGGCACATGCAGGTCAGTAAGATTTCTTCTTGGGGAGGGAGATCAAGACCCCCACAGTGCAGAAGGGAGCAGGTGAGGGGCAGGGGCAAATCATTCAGCCCCACCCCTGCCCGCTGCACTGTGGGGATTGTCCCATGACCCAGCCCGGATGGAGCCCCATTCACAGTGCAATTGGAGCCCAGCAGCTCCCGCCACTGCGCACACAGTAGGGTAGCCAGGGGAGGGGCGGCACGTTCCCCCAACTGCTTGGCTCCCCAGTGCTGCATCCCTGTACGAACCACTGGGCTCCGATTGCACCACGACCTGGCCTGGTCAGGACCCCATTCACATTGAATGGAGCCCCAGCCGGGCCAGGTCGTGGGACAAGCGGAGCCCAGTGGTCCCTGCAGAGTCATAGTGCCGGAGAGTCAAGGCCCCAGTCTTTGCACAGGGCAAGGGCAGGCTGCAGTTGTGAGGTAAGCCAGGTTCTGCCTGCTCCATGCCTTGCTGCAGTCTTTGAAAGTGGCGCAGCACAGCGCCATGTACCTCACTGCCCGACCTGCCCAGCTGCGGGGCACACATGGCACCGTGCCCTCTTTCAAAGGCTGTAGTGAGGCACAGAACCATGGAGCAGGCAGAGCTCGCCTTGCAGGTGCAGCCTGCCCTTGCCCTGTGCAAACATTGTGAGGGCATGTGTCCTCAGCGCCGCGACTCTGCAGGAGCCACCGGAGACGGCTTAGGCAGGACGGGGCGGGGGTCCCAGAGGCTCCATTTTCTCCAGCCTGGCAGCATAGCCAAGGCTGGCCCCACTCCAGCTCTGGGCCCCTCCAGGCAGTGTGGGGCTGGGACTGGACTGGGGCCAGTGCAGGGAGGCAGCCAAAGCCAGTGCAGGGCTGAGGGGCAGTGGACACTGGCACCAGGCAATGACCCCTGACATGGGAAAAGGGGCAGCCGCACAGGTGCAGTGGACCCTGGCCCCAAGCCCGATCCTTCCCCAGTGCCAGTTCCAGCCTCTTTACCTTCCCCCACCATGGCCCTTTCCCCTCCCTCCACAGACTTTCGCATGAGGAAGAGCACACACACACACACATGTGCACATGCTCAGGCCTCCCCCCCGTCAGCCCAATCAGCTCCTGGGGGACCTCCCCCCAGTATTAGGAGCTACCAGTAGGCCATGAAGAGAATTTTTTTTGTTTTAGCTTCCATAATGCAAATGTAAAAGCAGTGATCATACTAAAATATAGAGTTACATCGATCATGCTACAGTGTAAACTGAAAAAAAAATTAATTATTCACCATACCTTTCTGGCAGCCAGTAAATCAGGACTGTCTTCCATACCAATTGCAAAAGTTTGTAAGGGGTATGTGATGTTTGATTCTTTCATCAGCTTCAGGAGCATTGCAGCAACCAAGCTGGAATCCAACCCTCCTACCAACAAAATAATTTATTTTATTATTGTTTTAAGGCACTGATATCTGTACAACAAAAAAATGATTTAAGGCAGCCTTATTACTTAAAGGCTGTATTAACTTAAAATATATGATATACTCATGAGTGCGAAATACAGCCTTAAAAGATAAAGTTGACATTGTACAATTTCAGTGGAACATTTGTAGTAGAAATTACTAATGCAACGTGATGTCCAGCAAGCTTGACAGAAATTCTTCTTTAATATACATAAAGGGAAGGTAGAACAATGATTTTTAAAAGATTTTAAAATATTCTCCATGTCCAACCTTTTAAGATTGGACTGATCCTCCATGTCATTTCCATTATGAAAGTGCTTTCTTCATCTACTTGATGCTTATGATTCCATATACCTCCTTGGAGGTTTTTAAGACCTAGCTGGGCAAAGCCTTGGCTGGGATGATATAGATGGAGATAGTCCTGCTTTGAGCAGGGGGTTGAACTAGATAATCCCTTCCAACTCTAATTTTCTATGATATACCTCTGATAAATTTCTTTTTTGTTTATAGGTTGTGAGAATAATTAATTGCTCAGTTTGCTGGCTGAACTAGCCCACCCTCCTAGAAATTAGTTCTGGATCAACCAAGGCTCTTAGTTTGACAGCAAATGAAGACTTTGGCTCCATTTTCAGTGTTTTCCCCATTAAATTATAAAATGTTTTAAATAACATTTATATAAATTTGGTACTGAAACCTCATTTCAAATTTTAAAAAAGTAAATGTTATGATAATAACATCACCAGATATTTTGACTTTCCTGAAGGTTTCTTTCTTTTTTGCTCCAAATATTTTATGCAGACAACACAAAACTGTATTTTTTTCCATTTTTTGGCAAAAACACTTTGTCTGAAATATTTCACCTATTTCTGCACCCCACCCCCTAGGGCTTCAGCTATTCGCTCTGCATAACAACTGCTATTTCATTCAAATATGCATCTCACTGGGTACATGGTAAGTGCATCTGATTAAGCCATGGATGCCTATCTGCACAGCCTACTACAACTCTGATTGTCAGTAATTTTACAAATAAAAAAAATGAAATGTCAGACCCAAGGCTAAAACAAAGTGGGACAAACACTGGGACAAAGTGCAATCATTCAAATGTTCATTTCCGTTGTCAGGACAAGAAGTACTAACAGTTTACAGTATAACATGGTACAGTGCATCTGTATCGTTATCCCAGGATTGCATCACTGAATCAATGGCAGAAGGGAAGCAATGCATTTAGCTGCTCACTACATCCTGACCAGAAGAGAGCGATGTGTGTGTTTGTGCCAATCCTGGGACAAATGCAAACATAGGTTGTCCAAGGAGAAATGCAACATCTGTTCCTAGCTTTGCTCTCACATGGAGCTTGACATTCCTTCATTTTTAAGAGTATGTTGGGGAAACGGATTGAATAGAATGTTATGACTGCATTTCTTCTTGGTGAAAAATGGTCATTCAGTCAAAAAGACCGCAGCTCAACAACTTAGTGAGGCTCTATAAAGATGACAATTTTCAAAAAAAAATACTTCAGATTTCTGATGAACATTGTAACAGAAAAGGTAAATTAGCATTCCTATAATTGTAGATAGAACACTAACAAACCATAGTAAATAAACACTTTTTAGGTGGCAAAAATAAGTATAAGGACTGAAAGTCCTGTTATTTACCTGACAGAAGAGAACCAATTCTTCTGTGAGACATCAGACGTTTCCTAACAGCATTTTCAAACAGAATCCGAATGTTGCTTTTTACAGTTTCAAGCTCAACACCTGTTGAAAAAGGTAAAACAGGAAAACATCCAATAAGATGTTTTGTTATGACTTTACTGACATTCCTAACTTGGTTGAATCCAAGTCATTTGTTATCAAATGGATTTCAGGCAAGGATGTACAAGCCCCAATATATTCAGAAGCAGCTGGTACAAAGACAGCCCAAGATATGAAGTCCTTCCCTTATAGAAAGCTTCATTTCTGCTTTCTTCCAAGTAATACCAATTATACCAAACAATCCAAGTAACATATTTACCAAAATGATTAAATAATGGGGTATTCTGATTACATTTTAAATGGGTTTATGTACATTTATTTTTGCTTTGCTATGTTACCTGAAGGCAAATTTTCCACTGTATCATAGGCAGCATGCAGAGGTTCATCTTTACAACTGTGAAATTTTACCACTTCCACTGACGCAATTTTACCAGATGGTTTTAAATCCAACACTTCGTAGTGTCCCGGAAGAAACGGCTCCACTTTAGGACAAGAAGACATCGAGTGCTTTAAGTTCATAAGACCTACAGATAAGAAAACGAAATAAGGAAATTTCAAGAGTTTCTATGCAAGTAGCAATGCCTCTAAACAGTAATATGCTTAGAATCAGGCATGAAATATTCCTTTCCAGATTATAAATTAGTTGTATAACAAACATTCCAAATGTGATCCTTTGCTAGCTGGCACAAAGATAGGGTGATACCATAATGTTTGAGGACTCCTCTGTTGCAGGAATTCTATGAACTATAGATGGGGCTGTTAAAGCAGAAGCAGCGTGTGGTAAATACAAGCAGTATAGACACCGCAGGGCCAAACTTTAAGCTCCTGGCCTCTGAAGAGGAATCCAGAACTCTGACTAATGTGCATATGCTATCTATACAGTGAATGGAGATTGGTAGGAACCTCAGACTGAGCTTCCAAGGGGTCTGTATACTTGGTGGGGACCCACTTAAAGGTAGTTGATAAAAACACTTAGGGAAGTGGTGTGCTTGAAATCCCTCTTGTTTGAGGGACTTAAGTGCTTTACTCGGGGATACACAGAGGCCTCCTGAAGGTAGGCACTTGAAAAGTTTTCTTTTACAAAACCAGGTGGCAGCATCCTTGTTTTATAAAATATACTCGTGCCTAGAGGACTTATCCAGGAAGTTTGGAACAGAAGTTCAACTCCCCGCCTCAACTCAAGATGGTCTAAGCCCATGTCTCATCTCCCAGGAGCAATGTCAGACTCCTGTGCAGCACATAGTAAAATTTGACTAGCACTCATTTTTAATTGATGATTATGACTACTTATGAGAGCCTGAAAGGCACAATTTACATATTAAAAGTAACAAAAGATTTATAATATCACCAAGTGGCCAAAGTCATTGCTTTAGTATAAATTAGCTATATTAATTTAGAACTTTCATATTTAATAAATGATAGACTCTCACCCTGCTCATGGCGTTTCTAGTGCAGGCTGCAGATCAGCCTTGCAGTAAATTGTCAATGGCCATATTTTATTTGCCTTCTAGCTGCCACTTCTGAAGAAATTAAAGGAAGCATTTTGAAAAACCTGAAATGTAATATAGCATCAGATAGTCATCTGGATGCAGTTTGATCAATTGCAAAATAAATTTATCTCAGCTTTGTCAGAAGTGAATTATAACATCACTCCTGTAATCCTTATTAGTATGGCAGTAATCCCTACAGTGTTTTTAACTCACAAAGCAAAGTTGCAGAACTGAGTCTAATGAGATCCAAACCATAAAAACAGTGAACTTAATGTGGATGCCAATAACCAAAAGCAGCATAAATGAGTAGAAAAGAGAATGACTTGTATGTTATTCAGATGAACTCCTTCCCTACTTCGATTTAGTAGTGTTCAACTAAGTTAATGTCTATGGTCCCAAAATTTGATTTTTCTACAAAAAGAAGTGGTGGAAAAATAATTTAGGATATCAAACTTCCAAAAAAGAGTCTCCAGCCATAAAAAATGTATGCCCCTCTGAATGAAAATCAGAGTTCAATGAGAATCTCCATGACCAAATTCTGACCTCACACAGACACAAATCTACTGCAACTTTGACTCCTGAGTCCCAATTAATAGTTAAATATAGACTTCAAATTTCTTTCTGATTTCAGAAACAATCATACTTGAAGTCAAACCAACAAAAAGCAGATAAATGATTTTAGGCATTATAAAAAACAACTTAAAATTGACTAAGTCCACGTATTCTTTAGATGTACAAATTAAGTTCTATTTATATATAAGAGCAGCCAATTTTTACATTTTAGGCTGACTGATTAGATACCATTATCAATTGCCTTGCTACTCACTTAAGTATGCCTCTCCTAAGGATTATCAAGAGAAAGCAGCTTTCCTCCCAGACATTGTAACAGCAAAGCCTACATTTTACAGATTTTACCTTTTGCTTCTGAGCAAACACCCAAAAATCCATCTTCAGTCAGCACTTTAAACAATGGCCTCACTCCGTAAGTATCTCTTCCCAGAAACACTTTTCTGTTTCCAGTATCCAGCAGAATGAATGCAAATACACCATCTAGCATGGACGCTGTTTCCTCTATTCCTCCTCTGCTATATAGATGAAGAATCACCTCGCCATCCACTAAAGTTTGAAATTCAAATCCAAACTGTTTTTTCAACTAAGGAAAATTATTAGAAAGAAAAGATTAACATTCACTGACTGCATTCATTTTTTACTTTAAACAAAAACAGATGCACATTTATTTGCTTGCAGTTAACAAGAGAATATACTGTATTCTTGCACAAAACACACCCCAAATTATACTACACATCTTGTTTTTGAATGTCAGAATGAAGAATTTTTTTTTTCCAAGTTATGGCTGTAAAAGGCAGAGACAGAGCCTAATCTTCAGCTGACTCACCCTCCTTTTCTTCTTCAACAAAAGCTGAAACCCTAAATGATCACAAGTGGTCTGCATGGGTAGAGCTATGATTTTGAAAAGAGCTAAAGTTTCCAAGACTGTGAAATAGGAGGAGAAAGACCAGGAGCAACTAACAGATAGCAAAATTACCCTAAAAAGGTGAGCTTGGTAAGTGGAACATCATGGTTATGAAAAGGGAGAGACAATTGTTAACACCTGGGGAGAACAATGATCCATTAAGTCAATTGACTCCCTCAGCTGCCTGAATAGTAGCATCATAGCTGCTACAGTGTGAAGCAGGAATCTAAGCAGGGTACTTCTATTGTAGTCAGAAAAATCAGCTTCCCCGCTTAATACATGCACCCCAATTTGGGGGAAGCTAATTTTGGGGGAAAATGTGTGTTGTATGCAAGAAGATATATGAAGTACCCAGTGGAGAAGAGTTTGAAAGCTGTTTGACATTTTTATATGCAAAAGCCCTTTTATTTCAGCTGTGCTTAGGGTTCTTTCCCCAACTACCCACAGGCTCCCTGTGCAACCTTAAAGAAGTGACTTTCAAGGATGTTTTCAAAAGTGCTTTTAAATTGTGTACATTTATTTCAATTTCTGGATGTAAAAGCGTAAACATATGGCTCTGATTTTCAGAAGTGCTGAGCATTCTCAGCTCCCAAATTGAAAAAGAAGATGTTCAGTACTTCTGAAAGTCTGGTTTTCACTCTTGAGATCCTGAGGGACACCTTTGCATCTCCAGTTTAAGCATCACAATCCCTAAAAATCAGGTGCTCATTCCCTGTTGGGCGATTAAGGAGGCTGAATGGGGAGCCAAGGCTTACTATGCAGACAAAGGGGATCTAAGCATCTCTGAAGGGCAATTCACAAAAACCTACATGCTGAGCAGGGAACCTCTTACACCTATTCAATAGGAAATACTGAGCACAGGGGTGTGTTTGAATTCTCACCCCTGTCTGGAGCTTAGGCACCTGATTCAGGGCTGCATATTGGACTCTAAACAGACAGAGGTACATATTGCTTCAATGCCCTTCCTGAGTTTAGGTGCCTACGCAGACCTCACTATTTTTAAGATGTGGCTTATGGCAGGGATTCTGCTACCTACCATACTTCACAGAATAGCCCAGTGATTACAGCACTCCATGGGAGTGATCCCAGCGAGGTGACTCTCCAGTCTCCTGTCACACATCTACAGGCTGCTATATGGGAGCACCTACCAC